CTTCTTTTATTTTTTTTTCAACTCTCAAACTCATCATTTTTACCAATAATATAATATCAAAGCACATTATTGCGCGGCTAACTAGCTAGCGTCGGGGACATCTGCCCCCTCCCCCACCTCGCTACGCCTCTGACCATACTTAGCCAAACATTTACATTTCGGGTATTCGTAAACTTTATAATCGGAAATTCCGGTTTTGGAAAAAAAGGGACCGGTTTTGCGACCCCTGCTTCCAACTAATATTATTTGAATTTGATTTGCTCTTTGATGAGACTATTTATCTGTGTTTCATAGGTAAAGATGGCGTCACATTACCGTAGGTTGACCTTTGAACTAACGACTGTATCTATTGCTTTAGGAATTGTCTTCAATACATCGAAAGGATTAAATAATTGTAACGTGTTACCATTACAACATCTGTCGCTAGCATCTAGTGATTGGTGCATTTTAGCATCTAGTTATTGGTGCATGTTAGCATCTAGTTATCGGTGCATATTAGCATCTAGTTATCGGTGCATGTTAGCATCTAGTTATTGGTGCATGTTAGCATCTAGTTATTGGTGTATGTTAGCATCTAGTTATCGGTGCATGTTAACATCTAGCTATTGGTGCATGTTAATATCTAGTTTCTGGTGCATGTTAACATCTAGTTGTTGGTGCATGTTAGCATCTAGTTATTGGTGCATGTTAGCATCTAGTTATCGGTGCATGCTAACATCTAGTTATTGGTGCATGTTAACATCTAATTATTGATGCATGTTAGCATCTAGTTATTGGTGCATGTTAGCATCTAGTTATTGGTGCATAGTAGCATCTAGTTACTGGTGCATGTTAGCATCTAGTTATTGGTGCATGTTAACATCTAGTTATTGGTGCATGTTAGCATCTAAGTTATTGGTGCATGTTAGCATCTAGTTACTGGTGCATGTTAGCATCTAGTTAATGGTGCATGTTAACATCTAGTTAGTGGTGCATGTTAGCATCTAGTGATTGGTGCATGTTAGAACCTATTTATTGGTACATGTTAGCACCTAGTTATTGGTGCATGTTAGCATCTAGTTATTGGTGCATGTTAGGATCTAGTTATTGGTGCATGTTAGCATCTAGTTATTGGTGCATGTTAGCATCTAGTTATTGGTGCCTGTTAGCATCTAGTTATTGGTGCATGTTAACATCTAGTTATTGGTGCACGTTAGCATCTAGTTATTGGTGTATGTTTGCATCTAGTTATTGGTGCATGTTATCATCTAGTTATTGGTTCGCGTTAGCATCTAGCTACTAGTGCATGTTATCATCTAGTTATTGGTGCATGTTAGCATCTAGTTATTGGTGCATGTTAGCATCTAGTTATCGGTGCATGTTAGCATCTACTTATTGGTGTATGTTAGCATCTAGTGATTGGTGCATGTTAGCACCTATTTATTGGTGTATGTTAGCACCTAGTTATTGGTGCACGTTAGCATCTAGTTATTGGTGTATGTTTGCATCTAGTTATTGGTGCATGTTATCATCTAGTTATTGGTTCGCGTTAGCATCTAGCTACTAGTGCATGTTATCATCTAGTTATTGGTGCATGTTAGCATCTAGTTATTGGTGCATGTTAGCATCTAGTTATCGGTGCATGTTAGCATCTACTTATTGGTGCATGTTAGCATCTAGTGATTGGTGCATGTTAGCACCTATTTATTGGTGCATGTTAGCACCTAGTTATTGGTGCATGTTAGCATCTAGTTATTGGTGCATGTTAGGATCTAGTTATTGGTGCATGTTAGGATCTAGTTATTGGTTCATGTTAGCATCTAGCTACTGGTGCATGTTAGCATCTAGTTATTGGTACATGTTAACATCTAGTTATTGGTGCGTGTTAGGATCTAGTTATTGGTACATGTTAGCATCTAGTTACTGGTGCATGTTAACATCTAGTTATCGGTGCATGTTAGCATCTAGTTATTGTTGCATGTTAGCATCTAGTTATAGGTGCATGTTAGCATCTAGTTATTGGTTCGTGTTAGCATCTAGCTACTGGTGCATGTTATCATCTAGTTATTGGTGCATGTTAGCATCTAGTTATTGGTGCATGTTAGCATCTAGTTATCGGTGCATGCTAACATCTAGTTATTGGTGAATGTTAACATTTAGTTATTGGTGCATGTTAGCATCTACTTATTGGTGCATGTTAGCATCTAGTGATTGTTGCATGTTAGCACCTATTTATTGGTGCATGTTAGCACCTAGTTATTGGTGCATGTTAGTATCTAGTTATTGGTGCATGTTAACATCTAGTTATAGGTTCATGTTAGCATCTAGTTACTGGTGCATGTTAACATCTAGTTACTGGTGCATGTTAACATCTAGTTACTGGTGCATGTTAACATCTAGTTATAGGTGCATGTTAGCATCTAGTTACTGGTGCATGTTAACATCTAGTTACTGGTGCATGTTAACATCTAGTTACTGGTGCATGTTAACATCTAGTTATTGATGTTAACATCTAGTGATTGGTGTTGGCGCTTAGTTTGTTAGGTGGCAGCATTTGTGTTAACAAATTGTGTGAACAAACGTCTCGTTTGCTTAACAGTACGCAACAAGGACAAAACAGAAATAAACACAAGATTTAAGGAAATACAAAATAAAGAGACCGATGTCAGCGATAGAAACAATGAATGTAGATTTAAGCTATGAATTTTTGCTATATAAATATACACAAATACAAAATCAACTATGCAAAATACAAGTTAAAGATACAAAATAAAAGCTCAATTTTAAAAAATACGAGCTTATCTATACAAAATACAAGCTCTTCTATACAAAATACAAGCTCATCCATACAAAATACAAGCTCTTCTATACAAAATACAACCTTATCTATACAAAATGCAAGCCAATCTTTTCAAAATACAAGCTCATCTATATAAAATACAAGCTTATCTATACAACATACAAGCTCATATATATAAAATACATGCTCATCTATACAATATTCACGCTAATCTATATAAAATACAAGCTTATCTATACAACATACAAGCTCATATATATAAAATACATGCTCATCTATACAATATTCACGCTAATCTATATAAAATACAAGCTTTTCTATACAAAATACAAGCTCTTCTATACAAAATGTAAGCTCTTCTATACAAAATATAAGCTTAATTTGACAAAATACAAGCTCAACTACACAAAATACAAGTTTAATTTTAAAAAATACAAACTCAACTATACACAATACAAGCTCAAATACATAACGGATTTTGAAACCATCTACGTGTATAAATAAATCTCAATGTGACTTTATTTGTCTGTTTGTAACTTAAAGACTTTGTGACTACTGAACTGAGCACAGCCAGCTGACATTTTGCACAGAACTTTTCTATTCTACTAGAATCTATAACTAACATAGGCTTTCAAATTTTTTCTGACTTCAAGGGGGCTAATTTAAGTACGAGGTTTTGCTTATATGAGCTTTAAATAATTCTTATTTTTAATTAAAAATATTTAAAATATCTTTATTTTGATCACAATGAGACTAACAAAGGAAAAAAGAGTTACCCAAGTTGAAACAAAGAACAAAAATCGAGCTACCCAAATTGAGTGTGACGTTGTGAGAGTATGTCTGACGACTCTTATTGTGAGTAGTGAGTGAAGTTTGTGACCGGATTGGCCTGTGGTGTTGTCGTTGTGTGGCATGACTGGACGTGGTGGTTGTTGTGTGGCATGACTGGACGTGGTGGTTGTTGTGTGGCATGACTGGACGTGGTGGTTGTTGTGTGGCATGACTGGACGTGGTTGTTGCTGTGTGGCATGACTGGGCGTGGTGGTTGTGGTGTGGCGTGGCTGGGCGTGGTGGTTGTGTAAGTTTGTGGTCGTATTGGCCTGTGTTGTTGTCGTTGTGTTGCATGACTGGGCGTGGTGGTTGTTGTGTGGCATGACTGGACGTGGTGGTTGTTGTGTGGCATGACTGGACGTGGTGGTTGTTGTGTGGCATGACTGGACGTGGTTGTTGCTGTGTGGCATGACTGGACGTGGTGGTTGTTGTGTGGCATGACTGGACGTGGTTGTTGTGTAGCATGACTGGACGTAGTGGTTGTTGTGTGGCATGACTGGACGTGGTTGTTGTTTATGTGGCATGACTGGACGTGGTGGGCCGGGTTTCTTTCAGTTATATCTCGGGGGGGGGGTGGGGGGGAGGAGGGCGAATTTCTGAACTAATCCCTGGTGGTGAGTTGTTTTGTGCCATGAATGTGTTCAACTTGAATGCATGGAAAAGTGGACTGGGTGATCCTGAATGGGAGGCATCAAACGAGTGGAGAATGGAGAATAAACGTCTGTTGTTACAGCGAACACAGAAGAGGAGTGGGCGTCATTCCTTTCTATGACAGACGTCATTCCTTTCTATGACAAACCTCATTCCTTTCTATGACAGACGTCCTTCCTTTCTATGACAGACGTCATTCCTTTCTATGACAGACGTCATTCCTTTCTATGACAGACGTCATTCCTTTCTATGACAGACGTCATTCCTTTCAATGACAGACGTCATTCATTTCAATGACAGACGTCATTCCTTTCTATGACAGACGTCATTCCTTTCTATGACAGACGTCATTCCTTTCTATGACAGACGTCATTCCTTTTTATGACAGACATCATTCCTTTCAATGACAGACGTCATTCATTTCTATTACAGACGTCATGGACGAGACTTGCTATGAACGGTACAGTGTCAACCTCAAGGGAAGTAATTCTGAATGTTAATGCAGTTACTTCCCCTGGCTATTTGCTCATGCATAATAAGGAGTCAACTTTCATTGGGGCGGGAGCTTCACTGTTTCAAAAAATCAGCTAAGCAGCTCAAAGGAAATCACCCAATGGGCAAACAAGATGATATTAAAGGAAACAAAAACAAACTCGTTTCATTCTTTGAAAGGTGAACTTTATGATCTATGATAAAAATTCCCTGAGTGGATGTCCCCCCCCCTCGCCCCCCCCCCATTCCCAAACACACACAAATTTTCTCCCGCTCTCAATGCGCACCGTGATGCGCTCTCATTTGCTGCCTCAGCCGTCGTCAACTTGATCAAGGACGCACCAAATCCCACCAAGGCCTGTTTTAAAACCAGCATGGTGTCAGTACACGTTGATACCCTACAAAAATGGCGCCACTCACGGTAAACACCAAAAGATAACGGCACCAGTTACCGTCACTACCCACGCTGCATAGCGTCAAAACAACAACGCATTAGGTGATGTATGGAGTGCCATCCGAAATTATTATTTTAGATAAATGCACATCTTCCCGTATTTTACACGCGTAGCGTAGCTGAGTTGCCCCAGCTAGATTTGCCCCGGCTAGTGTTGCCAAGCTAGTTTTATCCCAGCTAGTTTTATCCCAGCTAGTGTTGCCCCAGCTAGTGTTGTACCAGCTAGTGTTGCCCCAGCTAGTGTTGCCCCAGCTAGTGTTGTACCAGCTAGTGTTGTACCAGCTAGTGTTGCCCAGCTAGTTTTATCCCAGCTAGTTTTATCCCAGCTAGTGTTGCCCCAGCTAGTGTTGCCCCAGCTAGTGTTGTACCAGCTAGTGTTGTACACCAGCTAGTGTTGCCCCAGCTAGTGTTGCCCCAGCTAGTGTTGTCCCAGCTAGTGTTGTACCAGCTAGTGTTGCCCAGCTAGTTTTATCCCAGCTAGTTTTATCCCAGCTAGTGTTGCCCCAGCTAGTGTTGCCCCAGCTAGTGTTGTACCAGCTAGTGTTGTACCAGCTAGTGTTGTACCAGCTAGTGTTGTACCAGCTAGTGTTGCCCCAGCTAGTGTTGTACCAGCTAGTGTTGCCCTAGCCATTGTTGCCCCAGCTAGTCTTGCCCCAGCTAGTGTTGTCTCAGCTAGTATTGCCCCAGCTAGTGTTGTCACTGCTAGTGTTGTCCCAGCTAGTGTTTCCCCGGCTACTGTTGCCCCAGCTAGTGTTGCCCAAGCTTGTGTTGTCACAGTTAGTGTTGTCTCAGCCAGAGTTGCCCCAGCTAGTCTTGCCCCAGCTAGTTTATAACATTTTATTAACTAATCATTGGAAAAAAATATTTGAAGGAAATCAATTCAATTTTTGTTTTAAATTTTATAATCTGTGAACAGAATCGACCTTCATTTAAATTGTCTCTAAATCTTGAGGAGTTCTACAATAAAATAGGATATATAAATACAATGTTAAAATTGTGTAACCTAAAAAAAAAAATAATTAAAAATTAATTAATTATTAAATTTCTCTCACTTTGATTGCAGTTGTGTATTAATATTTAATATTAATAAAAAAAAATTTCCATGTGCTGGGGTATTTTAATATTTAACTTTAAATATCTTCCGGTGCATATGGTTATAGTTATGTAATTATAGTTTAGAGTTTAGACTATCGGTATATAATTGTGAGAAACACCTCTGTTAGCTAAATAGAATAGCACGCCGCCCATACATATCATGATACCACCAATGATACTCAGGATAAAGGAGTAGCCGATTTGAAAGTCCACAATGAAAATGTTATTCATCTTTACACGCCACACAATGGTGGCTATCAGGATGAAAATGACTGAAACAAAATAAAAATAAAAAACGTTGAATTTTGAGAGAAACAAAATCATGTTCAACTAGTGCATAGACATGTTGGTAGCAGCAATGGTGAACACTTAAGTTTTTTTTACTATACTCTATATCTTGTCGTATTTTCATTGGTCCTGTCTTCTGATTCAGGCTTCCATATACCTTGTTCGACTATTTCTATCTTGCGAGACAAGGCTCCGCCCAGCCACAACTAGACAGTTCAATGGCCCAGGTTTGGGTCAAGGCTTGGCTAAAAGACCTCGTCCCAGAGGTGTGGTTGAAGAATTGGGGAAACGGCGAGACAGCCCGTCAACTTGACCGGACAATGACAGACTCAAACAGAAAGGCAGATCAGTGGTGGCCTTTAAAACGCGAGCACCAGAGCCTCACCACCCAGGTGAGAACAGACCATTGCCCTACTCGAAGCTAGTTGATCACATGACCTCCGCTTCGGGACCCGAGCTGCCGTCATTGTGGACAGGCGCCGGAGACAGTGGTGCACTTACTATCCGAGTGCCCGCTACTAACGAGTGGAGGGGAATCCCCGAGACGTCCACGTTGAAAGTCTGATTGAAGGTGGTGCCCAGCAGATGTGGCACGCCTTGTAAAGTGCTTCCTTTGGGGCCATAAGAGAGCACTAGCTGGGTCCCATTAAAAGAATGTAACATTTCAGTAGACAGCCAGGGACAGACAGGGCGCTCCAACGGGAGAGTTCAAACCAACGAATCTACCATCTCTTGATGTTCCCCATCTTGTTAAACGTTCAAAAGTTTGGGGCTTGTGAAATCTAAGATGTGAAATGAACGGAGATAAAATAGTAATGATACCAAACAATGTATTCAAATAAAACAGAGGATTTTGGGTTGAAAAAAAATAATTTGATATTATTCCAAAGGCATTCAAAAAAAGCTGGTCGAGTTTATTAAGGTTATGTATCCCATGAATGGATGACTGGGTGGCCGAACGGCCGAATGGTCTAAACTGAGCAAACCTCAAGTGATCTGGAGTTCAATTCCAGCGAATTCAAGCAAAAACATCACCAGCACCCCGGGTGGATGGGACTCGTTAACCTTGGTCGGCAACTCATCTAAGAGAAGGAAGCTCTGACTTCAAACCCGGAGATGGAGTCCCGTAAGGCGTATACAATGATGCAATCCGACAACTCCTGCATCCGTACCCATCCCTGGTCGTCTGGACATATATAGTCTTTCCACTGGACATGGTGGGCCCGGACGAGAGAGTGAGGTTGACGCCGCGCAACTCTTCCTCACTTTAAACAAAAGTCACCCGCGCAAGTCATCAGTCATCCAACACTGGACGACTCGATGGTCCAAGTCAATCTTCGACGGACGAACAACAACAATAAATATTCCATATCCCGTTATATAGCATCGACACTGACGTTATATAGCATCGACACTGACGTTATATAGCCTTGACACTGACGTTATATAGCCTTGACACTGACGTTATGTAGCATCGACACTGACGTTATATAGCATCGACACTGACGTTATATAGCCTTGACACTGACGTTATATAGCCTTGACACTGACGTTATATAGCCTTGACACTGACGCTATATAGCATCGACAATGACGTTATATAGCATCGACACTGACGTTATATAGCCTTGACACTGACGTTATATAGCCTTGACACTGATTAATGATGAAATGTCTCGAGGTGGCTAGAAGCAGCGGCGTTAAAAGGGGATGGGGTGGAGGCCCCCGGGAGGGGATGGGGTGGAGGCCCCCGGGAGGCACTATTTTTCTTTCTATTGAACAATGGCATTTTGACCCAACTTCAGAGGTTTTTTTTAGTAGAGGGTGGCGCCAACCCTGGCCAGACCCAGGTGCCACTTACCTTGCTACACCCTTAAAAAGAAGGCTAGAGTGGTGCTATATACGTGAATATCTAGCTGGGCTAGTGTGGTGCTGTCTACGTGCATATCTAGCTGGGCTAGTGTGGTGCTGTCTACGTGAATATTTAGCTGGGCTAGAGTGGTGCTGTCTACGTGAATATATAGCTAGGCTAGAGTGGTGCTTTCTACGTGAATATATAGCTGGGCTAGAGTGGTGCTGTCTACGTGAATATATAGCTGGGCTAGAGTGGTGCTGTCTACGTGAATATATAGCTGGGCTAGAGTGGTGCTGTCTACGTGAATATATAGCTGGGCTAGAGTGGTGCTGTCTACGTGAATATATAGCTGGGCTAGAGTGGTGCTGTCTACGTGAATATATAGCTGGGCTAGAGTGGTGCTGCCTACGTGAATATATAGCTGGAGCGTCGATAGGGTGATTAATTTGTTCCCGAGGCAGTTGTGATCAAATGTGACGATGGTTGGATTAGCAATCCATATGGGGTAGTGAGCTGTACGGAAACAGATAATGGATAGTCTACACGATATGGTGCGTATGGGATCATCTGATAAACCTGCCAGTTTGCAGAGGTCAAACACCCACCATTACTTGGAACATTGAAAACAAAGAATGAAGCGCCTTTATATAACTACACAAGCCTGCACAACATATGGCCCGCGGACTGCATGCGGCCCGCCAGTAGGCCTACTCACTCTGCTGCCCACGAAGTCACGAAAAATTCTTTTTTTATCATTATTATTTTCTTTATCCCCCCCCACCCCGTCCTATTTTCTTTCGGCCCGCACAAGTTTTTCATAAAGTATTACGGCCCGCCTCACATTTTGAGTTGTGCACGTCTGAACTAAACAATTCTGAGGTTAAGAATTCTTAATTAAAAATCATCATAATTATTATTCTAAAAAGGGATTTATTTATTTTTAACTTACATGTCGCCACACAACTAAGCAATGAAATCACAGGAAACATGGCACTCTTGGGTTTCCCCATCATCGGCAATAGAAGAGCTACCGTGGCCATGGCTAACCCAAGAAAACTGGCCAACAGTCCTAGAACGGCGAAGACTTCACAAACCTTTAGGCTGTACTCCATTGGTGGGGCTAAACATTAATGGAGAAACAAAGATCCATATTAATTTTTTTATTATTGTTATTCATCTTGGTAATTATTAAACCCCAAAACATTTTTTAATTATAACAGAACACGAAATAAATGCGGGTCCTATTTTAAAGTATTGTGTTTGGGTAGATTATGTTCAGCACTAATGTTATTTGAACTGTTGTAGCACAATCTAATGGCTTCATGTTGAATATGATGGTATAATCGTGCTGCGCCATTCTAGAATTAATGTACAAATAATAAAGATTTCATCACTCCACGTACGCAGTTTCCCCGCATATCTGTATTCTCCACATTTGCCATTCACGCAGTATCCCCACAGGCCGTATGTTGCTGAGAGCTGGGGTGTATGATAAGATGACCACTCCGGCGTGGCCACTCCGACAATGTGTAGAACGACGCTCAGCCAAATGGTAGTCACAAATACAAGGGATGGATAGTTATCTCCTCCGTGAACCGACATCTCTTTAATTTGGGGGTCACCTGGTTCTTAATTTATGACATAAGACAAGCATCATTAGTGATATAATGTTTAGCTTATAATAATCCTTCCATGGATCTGTCATGGGGGTAAAATATCGTGACCTTCCCTGGATCTGTCATGGGGGTAAAATATCGTGACCTTCCCTGGATCTGTCATGGGGGTAAAATATCGTGACCTTCCCTGGATCTGTCATGGGGGTAAAATATCGTGACAGAGAAGACACGTACGACTTACCTTTTTTTTAATCTCATTTTATTTTAAAAAATCATTAATTTTTCATTACAATGAAATGATATATTATGGATATATCCCTCATAAACACTACTGTGCCTGCAAATTGTAGCTATATAGTATTAGTACATGTAACCACTGCCGTGCCTGCATATTGTAGCTATATAGTATTAGTACCTGTAACCACTGCCGTGCCTGCATATTGTAGCTATATAGTATTAGTACATGTAACCACTGCCGTGCCTGCATACTGTAGCTATATAATGTAAGTGCATATAATTTCCACCTCTGGTACACTACTTTCCTCCCAAGACTAAGGTTCAATGAGATAAATCATTAATTCACTACTTTCCTCCTAAGGTAGGCCTACACTAACAAAAAAAACATCAATGCTGAAACTAACATCAAAATATTCTGTTTGACTATCTGGCCCTACATTTTCAAATGTTTTCTTTTTGTAAAGCCAATAAAAGAGACCTTACCAGCTTGAACTGTTAGGCGTCCAACATCGAGTGGGACCGTTAATTCCACACAAGAACTTTTGATCTAGTTAACGTCACGGTTAAAATGGACCTGGGGGGGAAATCCCTGTCCTTCCCCCTTGGGGTGACAACACGTTTCTGGACATTTTACTTCTTTATAATTTGGCTTTCAAAAGTTTTGATTGCAGAGGTTCTCAAATATATTTCACCGGCGACCATCGTTTTACGTGATGAAAAGCAATCACATATTATTTTTGTTAATCCCGAAAAGGAAAGGGTGCATGTCAATGTTCATTCTTCTAAAGTGGGCTGGGGTGGGGTTAAGATCATTTTGTTTGAGAATCTGGACAGTTCAAATTTCATAGAACTTGTTTTACGATTTCTTCAAATGAAAATTTGAATTTCATTGAAGTTTGCCCCACCAGGCCCCACCAGGTCCCACAAACTTTCTTTGATCTTTATCCCACCCCACTCCAGCACTGATCACCTTGCAAGAGAAATGAAAAATGAGGAATAGGAGGTAACATAAGAACAGCTATGTAGTGAATAGAAAGGGGACGTAATAAAATCAAGGATGACACTGTACTATGCAGTGTTTAAAAAGTGTGGGTTGGCGAAAATCTAGTTATATTATCAACTTATCAATAACCTCTGTGACGTTACAAAATCTAGTAACGTCACTTTTTGTGTAATGACTTATTTTTTAAAAAAATTATGAGAATTTAAACAGGTCGAATTTCTTTGTCATCGACCTGAAGGCCCCGTGTGCCGTGTGTGTTGGTCTGTGTTCAAATGTGTTATTACTTCCATATAACTCATGTTACAAACAAGCTCTTAATATAAGTCTGTTGGGGCATTGTCGTCGTGGTGCTGGTGGTTTGGGTTGGTTTTCTGGCACTAGTGATAAGGAAATAATGTTTGTGAAAGTGCTATGGGGAATTCTGAAACCAGACCAAACGCTGTATTACACTTCTCAATACCCGGTCAAACCGAAAAGCGGACGTTTATTGACGATCAGAGTTTTTCCGCTTGAATGAAAAAAGAACAAGTCTAGCGTGACTAGGTCAAGGTAATTAACTTTTTAAGTTATTCAACAAAAGGAAAGACGGGATACGAATGACACGTGGGAGTAAACGGGTGGGTGGGTGGGTGGGTGGGTGGGTGATCATGATCTACCTTTTATTAGGGGTCGCAATCCGGGATCCCGAATTTCGAAAATACCGGAATACCGGTCTATAACGATGCTCGAAAAAAAAAAAACTGGATTGGAATTTATGGAAAGCGGGATTTTCGAAATGCCAGGGATTTCATTTTCAAATAAAAAAAAAAAAAAAAAATCGCTTTTCTTAGTTTAAAAAAAAAAAAAACTGGGTTGGAATTTAAGGAAAGGAGGAATTTCGAAAAGCCAGGGATTTTATTTTCAAAAAAAAAAAAAAAAAAAAAATCGCTTTTCTTAGTTTGCATGTCGTAGTTAAAGCAAGACATTTGCTATAATTGATGTCATGTGCAAAGTGCGAGCCCCTCACGCCATATGTCTCAAGTCTCAAGTTTAAAGAGAGCCGACCAACGGACTAGATCTGCTACCGTTCAGGTGTCAAGAATCATGGCGTTGTGATTATTATTGTTTTTACATCATGCGTGTGTAGTGTGCAAGTCGAGATGGGTAGGTAAATTTTTTCATATTATTCACAAATAAGTAATTGGTATAGTAGAATGGAGATCAATAAATGTTGACTTATATTAAGAGTTTGTTTGTAACATGAGTTATATGGAAGTAATCACACATTGCACGAGGGTTCAACTTATTTAACAAAAATGTTTGATTTCTTGATTTCCTTTCATTATGCCAAAGTATCGCCACCCATTTAAAACTATGAGTAAATCCGTATGTAGATAATCGAATACCTTAAGTTTGAGATATTAAAACAATAAAATTGATGAAATGAGGACTGGTGAAGATGGCGGGATGAGGACTGGTGAAGATGGTGGGATGAGGACTGGTGAACAATGATTATTTCAGAAATCTTCGCCCGGGGGGGGGGATAGGGCACTTCAGATTGTTCGGGGGGGGGCAGTGCCAGCTGATTTATTGTTGGACATATTTTGCTCCGGGGGTCACTTACCCCCCGCCCCCCCCCGGGGATTTAGCTGAAAGAAACC